CTGTTTTCTTAATCGGAATGCAATCTCAACCAGAGTCGATATAGTAAACCCGACAAAGAAATTGAAACGTATGTTGAAGAAAGTCGGACTGACAAAATATATACACGTAGATCCTGTTTTTTGGCCCCCTGAAAGAATCTTAAAAATTCTATATAAATTTCTTTTGTTTGAAATGCAACCGTGGACACTATTTGGCAGAAAAACTTGCAAATTTTCGTTCGTACAGAAAATTGCAAATTTCTCTACATGAGAGAGAATTTGGGAGCATTTTTTCTTACTACCTATTGTCTTCCCTACAAGGCCTTTTCAGACTGACCGATTCTCAACACACTCAAATAGAAACCAATACTTATAAAAAACGCTGTAAAGATTTCCCTTCAATTTTAAGGCAGTAAAACAACGACCTTAAGTTAACTTCAACCGAAGCCATATGTTGACAAGGGACGCAAAATCACAGTCACACAAAAGAACTGGTGAGATTTTTCAGAAATCCCTTCAATTCTGATGCAAAATATGATCCCAAAAAACTGCAGATCTCCGATTTAGATGACCGGTCATATGACCGGCAGATGTCTCGTAGGATTCCCAAAGAGTTTTGCTTTACATAGAAATTTGTGCTCTTTTATTTTCATTTTAACTCAGTTCAGTGTTGGCTCCTTTAATTCAAGTTGGCATTCGGTTTTTGGAATTTAAATAAGTTCTCAGCAAAAAAGTTTGTTTAAAAAAATACATATGTGTACATAGTGCTTGAAAATATCAATTTTCCCCTTACCTTAAACCTTTGTGAGTGTGCAAAAATGATGTTTTGTAATTTAGGCAGAATTGAATATGCGCTATCCGGGAAGACAATATCTACATGTAATATTTGTTCTTTTGTTCGCACTAAATCCAAACACAAACGCATCTTAAGTGTCTTAACAGCGAAACAATTTCTTATTTTCTAAGTTTGCGAATAAAACTTCACACTTAAAATTAAGACATTTATAACAATCATTTTATTTTATTTCAAATAAAAATAAGCGAAATCGGCCCAATTTCATACAACCCTGCCTGACATGAAAATTTTCTCCACGATAAGGCTAGTAGTCATTTCTAACAGATTTCGGGTCGCTTAGTCAAAAATGGAAGCATATATACCTATTTGAAATTTAAGAAAACAAGGCAAATAGCAAAATCGGCTAAAAACGGCTAATTTTTTTCTGTAAAACGGCTAACAAATCGGCTGCCGGCTAAATCGAAATTTCTCCGGCTGTTTGCTATCGCAACCGGCTAAATCTAGCCGGAAAACGGCTAAAATGGCAACACTGATCCTAGGCCTGATCTTGTTAAAATTCTAAGGTGTGTTTGGTTCTGCTTTAACGGCTAGGTTATTAGCATTCAGTGAATCCAACATTTTTATTGAGCTTGGGGTCGTTTTTTATGAAAAATGTTGTGGGAAAGAAAGAAGTTATAGCTGCTATTTGGGAGGTCACCACATCTACTAATCAGACTTCTTTTACCCCGGTCACTCAGAGATGTGGTGATCTCCGAAATAGCAGCTATAACTTCTTACCTTTTTAAATTATTGATGCTTTTCCACAACATTTTTCATAAAAAACGGCCTCAAGCTCAATAAAATTTATGTATATAAATGTTATAAGGCCATAAATAACAAAAAAATTCTGAATGAATAATAAGTTTAAGGTCAGCCAAACATACCGAAAGAAAGTCGGAGAGAATCCTTAAAGTCGATGTTTAAACCATCGGTAAAACTTCCATCGATATATTGTCAATTTCGCGATGTTAGTATATTGTAAACATCGATGGCAAACATCGAAAATTGAACCGATATTATCGATGTTTCAAAAACATCGATGCATCGTTTGCATCCCTAAGCCCAAAACCTTGGCTTTCATTTGGTATATAGCTTATGTCTGGGAAAACTCTTGTTGTTGTGGAGATATTACGATTCAAATTGAAAAAATGTCGCTCCAAATAGCGAAAAATGTTTAAAAGTTAACATATTCGTCTAATTTGGTTACTCATCCGCCATGTACACCTGAGTAACGCGCTTTGTGCTCATGTTTCATACAAAAAAATCTTTGCGTACTTTCATTTGAACACTATTATTTCTTTATTTATATATCGATTTTCTTCAGTAGTAACTTGATTTATTTTTTATAACAGAACAGGCTTCAGCACAGATGCAAAAATTTGGACAAAACCTGTTATTTTTTAAATTTTTCTTGTGTTAAAGTTGGATTTTTTTCATTAAAAAATAAAAAAGTTGGAATGATTAACTAATTTGTCAGAAACTATGACTCCTATCGGAAAGTAATGTATATAGGTTTATGGAAAATTTTATTAGCTTTATTTTCATATTATGATTGTTAAATTGGTTCGTAAGATATACGTGATTAAGTGGAACCACTTTTTGTTTTAAGCTGAATAACGGTAAATTGCAAATATCCCGAAAACGTATCCATAGAAAAAGAATTAACTCGATTTTCGGAATCCCCGAGCAACACTACATAGAAGTGAGAGAGGGGCGTCTGGAGAACGACAACAAGACTAAAATTTGTGATCCAGTGTAATTAAATACAAGTTGTACACAATAACTAAATATTAGAAAAATAATAGGAATCAAAATTTGATACAATTTAGAGACAAAAAGTGCAAGTTGAGTTACATTTTCATACGAAATTTGGAAAATGCAATTATCAACACTGGTCCAGAAGTAGACATGTTACCGAAGGAAGAGTTTGACCAGCCACTATCAAAAATGTATACATACATATAAAAATACAAATATGTAGGTACAATTAGAAAATTTAAGTTGCATTCCTATGCGAAAAGGAATTTTATGATGTCAGCGAATAGGTGAATGCTGCCAATTCGACGAAGGAGGGTTAACGGTCCGCGAATGGCGCCAACTTTATTTTATACACCCTCTAATAACGGACTACATGTGAAGTTTGCCACCTATCAGATATGCTATTTCAACTTATTCTCGCATTTCTATACCTTTAATGAATATGAAATGGTATTATAAATTTTGTCCTTTGTTTGTACATAAGTACCAGAAGAAGAAGAGATCATAATCAATAAAATTTGCCTCATGTAATGCCTACTGCATTATATAGATTTTTTTTCAATACGGAGGTTTTCTTCATTTTCGCTAAAGAGTTTTCTTACAATATATGTATTTGCACTTTTTACATATGGAAATGCAAACATATCGTGTAAAAATTGGATTGGCTTCTGTACAAAGCAGATGCACATACATACGAAATAGAAATAGGTTTGTATAGTAACCAATAGTCAGTACTAATTTGTACTGGAACCTGCAAATTTTTACTGGAAAAGTGTATGATAACCCAAAAAATTTACAAGAGAGCACTGAATCAAGAGCGTAACAACACGGGAGAGCTGCAAATTCTTGCTAGTGAAATTTTTACTAGCAGAAATTAGCTAGCAGAAGAAGAAGAAGAATAAATGTCAAAAGCCGCCATTTGTTGAATTGGTTTAGCACAAACAAAACTAAAATGAGTGGAAATCAAAATATTAATGATGTACTAGATTGTGTAAGTGCTTGTGTGTAAAGCAAAGAGTTTAAAACTGATTTATAAATAGTAAAATGATTACAGCAGAATATCAAAAGGGTGCAACAACTATTCACTTGCAAGTTTATACTGGTTTTGCGTTCAATAACTTTTTCTGCTAGTTTTCTCTTTTTCTCAATTTTACGCTCTATTTTGCTTTTACGCTCTCGCTGCAATGTTTTACTGGATAAGTTACTATACAAACCTAATGTTTCTATTTCCATCTGACACACAGATAGAATTATCGTTTCATTTTCAAAGAACGTAATTCTAAATAGTTAAATAAAGACTGTAAATTAGGCAGACACAAGCAATTATGTACATACATATGTATGTATTCAAAATATACATATCATGTAACTCTATTTCACTTCTTAATTGCCCTTTTAGGAAAAAGTGTGCTACAAATTTGCATACATACTAAAATTTTTATGAAAATTTGCACAAAGTTTGGAATTCCAATTTTCAGAGTTTATGCTGTTAGCCATAATTTTATATAGTTATTTTTAAGAGGCTTCCCTGAGGGGCTCTGTAGTCGGAGTAGAAAGAGAGGCAGATCACTGAAATCTTTGGTCTTTGCTCTCTCTCAAGCTGAAAAGGAGACAGGTGTCCGGTCCCATTATTTTCTTGTACCAGCTTCAAATTCAAATTCCTTTAAAATTGTATAGATTTTGTACGGCAATATGAATAATTTTAGGAAAAATCGAATTTCGATTCTAGAATTTTTTGAATCGATTCACGGATCGAATCGGAACTAAAAAATCGAATCGGAAGGGCTCGATTAATTGATCTTCGATTTAAAAAGGGCATCTCTAGTATGCATGTAGGTTTTTATGTACATATATGTATGAACGATTAACGCGCGACCGACCGAACCAGTAATTCCGATTAAACAATAAACCTGTTTTATTTTGGTGGTTGCAATGCCAAAAGATTGATAATTTAAAGATTGTAATTTCGAGATTACAGAATAAAAATATTGTAAAAAATAGATATACCCTCAATGAATAAGCATATTTAAGAGCATATTTTGGTGATATTACACATTTTATTCTCACACATGACCACATGAGAGCTCCCCATGTAAATAGACATAAGAATGAATGAGAGTTTTCTTACCGAAAATGTTCTCTTGAGAATAAAATAACAGTGAGAATCAATTTGCGATTAAACGCCCATTAGAGTACTCACCGCAATATGGCGGCACTCTCATGATTAATTACTCTCATAATGAATTACTCCCATCGTTTACGAGTACCTTTATGCAAAAAAATCGTCCTATTTTTATTTGATCGCTGTTTAGAATTAGGAGTACGATATATACATACATGCGTACGCATATACAAATATTTACATACATACATAAGTATGTAATTATGAGCTAACGTTTTTTTTTTTCTTTTATATTTTCACCGTTAGCTGTCGTTCAACTTCTGTAAGAAACTCCAAAAACTTGTTTGCGTCTGGTGAAATAAGTATGGAGCCTGAGTATCGTTCATCGTACATTTCATATCCGATGGTGGATCGAACTACAAAAATACTGCCACGTGAAGCATTTCGCCTCGATCCTGACCCAGTAGAAAACAAAATTCATCCAACCGTTCAAGAGGTTCCTTCCTGCCAAAAACTGGCAAATGATAAAAGTTTACGTGAACTTGCCGCTCGCAACCTTCAGAAAAGTCGCCTTCAGCAATACGTTGGAGATAATAAATACAACACCGCGCCATCTGAGTACAAACGCCAATTCGTACAATTTCCCATCGAAAAAGCACACTCCATACCACAAATATCTCATATAAAAATACAAGGTAAATTTGGGGGTGTGCCAGAATATCAAGACTGTTTCAAAATGTATGACAATTATTCGAAAAGCGCACCAATAAAAAAGGTTGACAATTTACGAGTATCTGGTGCTGAAATAGTAGAAAAGGCAAATGATGATACTAAATTACCAGAATATCGGGAGAAATTTCGTGAACCACCGAAAAGTGTATCGAAAGAAAAAGCAATTAAAATCCCTGACCATCTGCATCCAAACGGACAATTTTCGAAAGATATTCCAGAATATTACGAAAGCTTTCGTGATCCGAAGATTACACAGATGCCAGAACGTGGTAAATGTCGGGAACCATATTTACGCCTCAAAGGTAAAATCGAATTCAACCCAGAATATCGCAACACTTTTTTGGATTTCCCACGTTCACGGCCAATCATACGAAAACCAGCTTCCACATTTCGTCTGCCAAATTCATCAACTACGTCCAACACGACGCTTATTAAAAGTCCCAAATCTGCACGTCGCAAATTTAAATCGTATTCCCCAAAACGAAAGGAGTATATTGAAAATTCCCCAATTACAGACATCACCACAACGCCGGAATATCGTCGCGCTAATTACCAATATCAGCTGCGCGAACGTACTCCCACACGCGAACCCAAGGAGGAGAAAGGAGAAAAGGTTGTTGGTTCAGTATCCAACACTAAATATGTGTCCATCGCAACCCAACGCAAAAGTTCCGAATCGTCAACGGATGTACCCGGTAAGTCGTCATATTTGCAGAAGCGACGTACTTCCCGCCATCGCCAAGCAACTATTGGTTGTCATCATGGTCCAGGTGCACCACCGAGTTTTGAAAATGTTGTGGGTTGTGCAACAAAAAAGGCAGCAAAATTTGGCAGGCGCGCATCTATGCTTCAGAACACATCAACTCTGGGTAAGGACAGAACGGGATATGCCATGTCGAATCAAAAAGCCAACGATGAGTCATTCGTTGTGCTGAACGAGCCTTGTAAAAAGTCACACTGGATGAAGAAGTCCTGGTACGAATCGTAATTGTATTATTGTATGTGGAATGAAAATTTTAGTAGAGTAATTTGTGTTTACAATGGAAGATATACTAAAATAAATGTTTACTAGCTTTAACCCTTACTAGCAAATATACCCCGCTCCGCCTTTGAGCAATTGAAAAATTGTGCCAAATATTTGGAATATACATGCATACCAGTGTAGCCAAAAATGGGCTTTTCCTATCAAAACTGGTACGGTTTTTCCCATTTGGAAGGTTGGTAGGCTAGATTGGATTTTGGTAGGTTCCGCGACAATAATAGTTATTTGCGAAAAATATAAAATATGTATCCTGGTGACAAAGCAACGCAAGTAAAAGTGGGTTCCACCTTCAGCAAGCTGCACCGACGGTACAGGAGCTATGGGCACCTGTCCAACGGATGCCCTTGGTGTCATTACAGACATTCCTCCTTTGTCTATTTTGTTTGAAAAAGAGGGCTGCTGAAGTGCCCTACAACTGCCCAATATGATCAGCAAGAAATTTTGGGATCCTCGGGGTCATTTGGAGGTTCTAAAGCCATTTCTGGATAATCGCGAGTTATCCTTCTACAAACCCTACAAGGTAACAATTCCTGAAGGGGACTTCTGTGAAGTGATAGTAACTATGATTGACGAAAGGTCCCACGCATGGTATACCGACGGATCAAATTAAATATTTGTCGGATAGTCAGGCAGGTTAAAGGTCTTGGACTCTTCTAAAACGGCAGCAGGCTTGTGGAAAGCTGTAAAACTTTTTTGAACCACTTGGAAGCTCACAATAACATAACACTGTGATGGATTCTGGGACATGAAGGGTTTGAAGACAATTAAATCTGACTGTCTCGCAAAGCGGTGAGCCCAAATGCACTAGCATAAGGTTGGAGTGATTACAATTAGGGTTAAGAGCAATAGATCTTCTTAGGTTGCAGCGCGTTTCTCCCCGACGTAATAATAGTAACAATAATAATATGTATGTGTAACAATACGAACATTTCTGTAGAGTATAATGAATTCTTATACGTAGTTAATTTGTTTTTATTGTACTAGCTGTGTTTTAGTTTTTCTCCATGTTATGTTATTTACATTTTTAATAAACTTGACATACAAAAAAATATTAAAACTTAAATAAAGTTTTGGTAGGTTTTGGTTGAATTTGGTAGGAAGTTTTGGTAGGAAAAAAAATTTGTCTGTGGCAACACTGATACATACATAACTTCGTTAGCCTTAGTTTTAAGACCAACGAAGCTTGCCGAGTGAAACTATTGTTACGATTATCCTCGAATCCTTGAGGGATTTCCCAAATATACT